TGGATTATCCAAGGATATTATATCAGATAGATGAACTCAATTTGTATCAAGATTTTGGCGAACTCTTTTCAAGATTCTAAAAGTGGATATAAAACTATCTTCGGCATTCCATCCTCAAACTAATAGACAAACGGAGCGTGTTAATCAAGATTTGGAGCAATATTTAAAATGTACCATTAATTACCAAAAAGATGATTGGACAACTCTTTTGCCATTGGCAGAGTTTGCTTATAATAACACAGTACACTCTTCTACAAAACAAACACCTTTATTTGCTAATTATGGTTATCATCCACGACTTGATACTTTTGACTTTTCAAAAGTTGATAATCCTGCTACAAAAGATTTGGCAATTCATTTATCAGAGCTATATGCAACGATAAAGGCATAGTTAAAAGAGGCTTAAGAACAACAAAAGGTCAATACGGATGTCAATCGAAAGGAACAACTATCATTCATCTTGGATGATAAGGTATGGCTATTTTGTCGTAATATCAAGACCACTTGTTCTTGTGACAAGTTAGACTATCGAAGGTTGGGACCATTTTCTATTTCTAAACAAATCAATCTAGTTGCATATCGTTTATATCTACAGGAGTCAATGAAAATCCATCCAGCATTCCACATGTCTCTTTTTCAACCATACAAGACAGTAGACATACCAAGAAGACGACAAGCTCTACCTCCTCCTATAGAAGTGGACAATAATGAAGAGTTTGAAGTAGAAGAAGTCTTAGATTCAAGGCGACGCCAAAATAAATTAGAATATCTTGTCTATTGGCGTGGATATAGTATTAGTGAATGCACATGGGAGCCAATAAAGAATCTTGCAAATGCAACAAAGGCGGTGGAGGCTTTTCATCGACGACATCCATCAAAATCAAAATGAAAACCTTCTTTACAAAAGAAACATCATCTACGCAAGATAACATTCTACTTTCAATTCTTGTTCGTAGCTTTGTTGTAGTAGTGGCGCTTAGGAGATGAAGAACCAACAACCAGCGGATTCAACTCAAGAGCCTTCATTTGCTGACCTGTTGGATGAGACATTATGATTGTCACAACCTTCAAGACAATGCAATCGAGATGAAGATCTTCAAGAACGAAATCTTCTTCCTCGAATAGATGGCGAGATACAACGCGTTTGATATCATGATTTGGGAAGGGACTCTCGATGTTTGGTGATTGTACTAGAGGTAGGAACAACTCCTGATGGTGTTTCAAATATTCTATTCAAAGAAAGTTACGAACGCCTCAACAATGATTAAATAACTAGGTGGTCTTCCCGCCGTGGTATGGGACACTAGCGATGGTTGAGAGGCCTTATCAATCATCTTCAAAGAGAACAAAGATCAGAGTATGTGGCGAATACAATTCGTCGCATCATAGATTTCCTCAACATACGATGACCGCTCCTCGTAGAACTTGTCCCTAGAAGGGGGGGTAATGTCACAGACATAATCATGTAAGCTATTAATTACATATACAAATAGATAGAAGTAAGTAAAAATAGGTAAAAGTAAGTTAATTCTATAGTATTTAATATGGAAGCTTTCTAGAAGCTTCATAGACGCTGCTTTGACTTCATAGGTGTCTTTAATTGACTTTTTGGATTAGAAACGTGGTCAACAAGTTGGCCATGTACCACACATGTTGTTAGCTTGAAGATCAAGCTAACTATGTGGCCCACACGTAGAAAAACTTGCCTTGTAAGTCAAGGCATGTGTCCTATAAAGTCAACACATATTGGAGGTCCTATAGAATGTCGCCACGTAGCCCTTAGTTAAATAGTATATATAGAGACAAGAGTGAAGGCTTCTTCACTCTTGTCAACTCTTTTCTTGCTTCTAGTCTAGTTTCAAGGGTCTCTAATTTTCTTGTCTTTTGGCAATAGCCATTCCAGTTTTTCTTTCAATATATATATTTATTTATATATATTTTGTTACCTCTCTTTAAGTGAAGGCTCACTTGTTTGAATTGTTTTTTCATCGAGTTCTTGTCCTTGACAGTTAAGCATAAATTATTTTACTTCATATTATAATTTTTAGAAAAATTAATTGATGAAAGCAATGTCATCTTACTTGATATCAGTTGCAAGTTGTTAAACTTATAAAACATATAATAAGTTTAGAAGTAAGTAATCTACAACTTCTAATATGCTTTTATCTTTTCAAGAGAAAGGAATAATCCATTCTTAATCAAAAAATAAAGCTTTGATATTGTAAGTGCACTCTTATCAATATATTCAAAACCAAAAATTTAAAGAATATAAATGAAGAAGTGAAATATTTTTCAAAGATAAAAATAAATAAATAAATAAATAAATATATTCAAAAAGAAATTATAATGGCTATTGCAAAAGATCAAAAAACTGCAAACTCTTGAAACTAAACTACAAGTAAGAAAAGATTTAAAATGAGTGAGAAAGGACTTATTCTTATCTCTATATATACTATGTAATTAAGAGCTATTTGTTAACATTCTACATGACCTCCAATATGTGTCTAAGTTGTAAGACACATGTCTAATTTGCAAAATTATATACGCCATATGTCCAACTTGTACCACAAGTGGGTAACATGTGCAATGCATGACAAACTTGTTGGCCAAGTTTTTAACTTTTTAATTACTTATAGACATGTGCAAAGACAAAATTACATTTATGAAGCTTCTAAAAGGTTTATTTTTAAATATTATCAAATTTATTTACTCTTACATATTTTTACATACTCAAATTATCTTAATAATTATTAGAATAAATATAGATGTCTATGATATAGATTCGAATTTGATTTTATAAGTCTTTGTAAGCAATTAATAAGTTGAAACTTGACTAATAATTTTACCATGTGTTGCACATATCAACTATTTGTTTTACAAATTGGCTACATGGCATAGATGTCAAAAATTTGTCTTGCAAGTTAGATATGTGTTATAAAATGTATAAAATATTGTAGCATGGCTTCTTAGTTAGATAGTATATATGAAGGCAAGAGTGAGGTCTTCTTCACGCTTGTCAATGCCCTTGTTGATTTAAGTCTAGTTTTAAGAGTTTTTAATTTTCTTCTCTTTGGCAAAAACCATTCTAGTTTCTTTTAGGATATACATACTTATATATATATTATTTTTGATATAATTTTTAATTTTATTCATTAATCTTTCTTTAAGTTTTTATCTTTGATATATATATATATATTTTTATAATTATATTATATTATTTTAAAAAAATGCTTTAAATTCAAATAGTTGGCTTATATGCATTTTGCTTGTAATTACTTTTGCTGATGCTTCAAATTTGGATTGAGATTTCTTTAAGAAGTTATCAATCAAAATTGTTTTAATATCAAATTAACCATCTAATCATATTTTTAAAGTCTTTAAGTTTTAGAAGATTAAAACAATTGCAAAACCAACAATTGTCAATAGATGTTTTTGTATAAATAAAAGAAAAGATGATTTTTTATTTTTTATTTAAAAATAATAATTTTCTTAAATTTTAATAAATGTAGGCTGTTGAATAAAAATATTCTTGATTTTTTAAATCTAATATTTTATGGTATAAAATAATATAATAGCTATTATATATCTATAATAATTTTAGATATAATTATTAAATGATTATTTTTTTTATTTAATTATTTTAAAAATATACTTTGTATAAAAAATTTGACATTTTTCAAAAATTCATGCTATTTTATTTTTAAAATTATTTCTCCAATTGATAAGTTATAATTTTGGATCCTATATCTTTAATAATATTTTTAATATTTTTTCTTATATGATATTTTAAAATTATATTACATTAAAGTAAGCTTTCACAACATACTTTTATTAAAGTGCCACCTGTCTTAAATGTCAATTTTGGGATTTAAATTAATTCTTTGTTTTCACTAAAATTATAATAATTGATAATAATTTATGTTATAGAATTGTAAATTAGTTCTTAATTTTCACTCAATCAATTTAGAATTAACATAAATTATTATCAATTCATAAATTATTAAAATTTTTATCTTTCAAAATATCTTTATCTACATAACATAAAAATTTGTTTAGGTCATGATTTTTTTATTTTTTCTTTTATTTTATTTTTAATTTAAGGTCATGAATGGCAGTTAATTTTTTATTAGTTAATGAATTAATCAATGGGTACTTTTATCTTAATTTTTTTTACAGAATAATAATGAATACAATCTCAGTTTCTTGGTGAACTTTACACATTTATACATCAATAAGGATATATTTACACACAAAAAAAAAAAAAAAAAAAAAAAAAAAATCTTTAAACAATATGGTTATTTAAATTATTTTAAAAGTATTCCACATGATATGACAAAAAATTCTAAAAGATCAGAAAACTATTATTTTCAGAATAACACTGCAGGGATTTCATTTTTTCTTATTTCTTGGTTGCAAAAAATAAATTTAACTTCTATGCTTGCAAATTTGATATACTATAAAATCATATGATGTATTAATTCTTTTGGAATGGAAGATGAGGCCAAAATAGTTTCTGTATTGTGAATTTCACATGTAGTCACAAACATTGTAATACATTTATCTCTCCATGAAACTTGGAACTTGGAGTCTTCCTTGCTGGGCAATAAAGAAAAGTTACTTATTTGTTTAACTGTGTTTTCAAACCTGCAGATTCTTAGTTGGGATTGTTCGTTGGTTAGATTCTTAGTCGGATTAATGGGGCCAGCTAACAGTCCGAAACCGTGGACTCCAAAGAGTCGATCCCGTGATCTTTTAATGGGAGCTTTATCGAAGCTTGTAAAGCAAGCGACCAGGACATATCTACATTCACACCTGCACCTACCGCCGCATATACCCTGGGTCCCGTCTACGTGGACGATGACATGGCACTGGTGTGGATTGACGCGTTCTGATTGGCAACCGCAATTCTGTGAATTTGTCATTCCCAGCGTCGACGTCGCAATTGCTCTGACCTCTCAAGCTCACCGCTTAAACCCTATTACAGAATACAGAAAGCTCTTGTGTTTCTGACCTCGCTGCTATGTGTCGAAGCAGTGCTTGTAGTTGATGTCGCCTGCTGTAATTTAGATTAAATTTGCAGGATCAGCGTTTGCTGTGGAATCTCGGACACGGTAGGCGGGTAGAAGACCTTGAGAGTGAGAGAATTGTATCTGCAATTGGCATGGCAGCAATAGCTGTGCAGTCGAATTGCTGCTCCTTCAGCTCCGACTGCTGCTCTCAGCGATGGTGAGGACCTTCTTCTTTCTCTTTTTTTCCCTCCTTGATTTCTTGTAAAAACCTATGGCTGGGGAGTTACTGTCAGTTTTTCTTCGCATGGCTGAGGTTCGAGCAATCGGATTACCGGGGCTGGTGGAGATGTAGGGATCCATTCAAAGGCAATGGGAGGGTACAGCGTGGACTCTTAGCTGGTCCCATCAACCTGCGCATGCCAAGCCCGTCTCAGCTAGTCCAACAAGGATCATGTTCCATCAGCTGCAAGGCTGGCGGAACTTCAAAGCAGTCTGGCTCTGCTCTTCGAGCAAAAGCCAAGAAAGGATCCTCTGATATTAATCCTGATGACTACCTATCTGATGACCAGTTGCAATATGTCGACCGGGTAAGTCTTATTCTTTACTTTTATCCAGCAGCATTACACGCTTAGATGAGTAATACTCAATGGGTTCATATCTAGAACCGAATGGTTGATTTGAGCTTCCGGAAGTGCTTCATACAATCGTGAAAGATACTCTTTTATACCATGAATCGTAGGACCTTTGGTGCACACATTTGTAGGAATGTGCAGGTCGTGGCTGGATTATAGTAAATTAATTTGCTTGAAGTCAATGTTTTCTTCTTCTTCTTTGTTTTTTTATTAAACGTTTTTATAAATTTTCTTGTAATCTTACAGTGTATACCTTTTTGGTGAGCAGCAAAAGGCATTAGAAGCCGCGATGAGCGACATCAATGGCTCATTTGGCAAAGGAAGTGTGACCAGGCTTGGTAGTGCTGGCGGAGCGCTTGTGTGAGTTTATTATCCCTATTGAAGGCGATCGAATTATATATATTTGTAAAAAATTCGTTGTTGGAAAGGTTATCAACTTGTTTGAATTAATTCGTTTACTAGGATATTGCTGGTGCAGATGATTGGTTAACTAGTATGTCAAGCGTCATGTCACTAGACCACATATATTTCTTAACCGATGCTTACGGACAATCTTTTGCACTGGCTTTGATGGATTGCATTCTCGTTGAATTAAGTTAAGACGGAACTTATGTTGCAGAGAGACCTTCCCCAGTGGTTGCCTCACTTTGGACCTTGCATTAGGTGGTGGTTTTCCCAAAGGACGTATTGTGGAGGTCTCTTCTATCTGCGTCTTATTTAAGCAGATATACATTGCCTTTCATCCTTCGTATATGCTTTCATTATCTACATCCTTTTGTGTCGCCACCGTTCTTTTTTGCTTTACGGATGTTTGACCTTTGCCCTTGTGTTTGTGTCGGCAGATATTTGGTCCCGAAAGTAGTGGGAAAACCACGTTAGCGCTTCATGCCATAGCTGAGATACAGGCAAGCCTCTCGCAGCTTTTCATTCAGATGTTATTTGAATTCTCTTGCGTTGCATTCAATTAATTGTTGTTTCATCGTAAATTTGATTTCAGTAAGTGATTTTTTTGCTGGATATATTCGCGTGCATTTTTTTTTTTTTTTTATTTTTATGTAAAACTCCTCAATTCGATCGGCATGCTTTTGATTGCAGAAGAAAGGTGGGAACGCAATGTTGGTGGATGCTGAGCACTGTTTTGATCCGTATTATTCGAAGGCTCTCGGTGTTGACGTGGAAAGCTTGATTGTTTGTCAACCCGACAATGGTGAAATGGCTTTAGAAAGTAATATACCTCTAACAGTTAATTTTTATGAACCTAAAGTTGTTGCACCTCATACCAAGTTTCTGAAATTTTGCCTGTGAACTCGCACCTATTTTTCACCTTCTTATTTCTCATTGGGAGTAACTAGGAAATTTACTTAATACAAGTGATCTTACTTCTCCTTCTTCACCAGCTGCTGACAGGATGTGCAGATCTGGTGCTGTGGACATAATCGTCATTGACTCTGTATCTGCACTTACCCCCCGAGCTGAGATTGAGGTATTGTTTCAATTCAGATGTTCAAGTATGTGCTATTCGTATGTACTGTCGTTTGAGTAACAAACATGGCTTCATCCTTTTTCGTAATAATGGCCAGTAAGCTTCCGTACCTCTTGCATCTAGTTTAAATTTAATCTGAAAGGTATTAACTTTTGTTTTGCTAATCCGCTGCATCTATGGAAAAAGGATTAATGATATCGTGATATAGTTGTCTTCGCCTTTTTTGTAGGATGCTTCCAAGTACCATTATGTGCTTATTACACACTTACGAAAAATACGTTTGATTTCCTCAGGGAGAGATTGGGATGCAACAAATGGGACTACAGGCCCGGTTAATGAGTCAAGCTCTTCGTAAGATGTCTGCCAATGCTGCACGCGCTAACTGCACGATTATTTTCTTGAATCAGATTCGATACAAGGTTAGTATGTTATTGCCAGAATTTGCGAGGAAGAAGGACTTGCTTGATTTCATTGAGTGCAATTGATATCTTTGATTACCCATCACATATGTGGATCTGATGTGGCGTTTTTGTGTGCCAGACGTATGATCATTTGTTTTGCCACCAAATGTATCTGAGCACTTGTCGATCCTGTCATATTGTTCCTTACATTTGCTGCCGAATGCTGCCATCATATCTTGGATTCTTAACCTCGCTTGTTGATTTTTTGCAGATAGCTGTTATGTACGGAAATCCTGAAGTTACAAGTGGTGGTCTTGCTCTCAAGTTTTTTGCTTCTTTGCGCCTTGACATTCGCAACACGGGCAAGATTAAGTCGGTGAGCTCCTGATGATACCTGTACAATGAAGTCGTTTGCTAATAATTTCTTAGTGAATAAGTACATTGATTTGCGTCAATCGATTTTTGATTAATTTGGATCTTACTTCTGTACTGTTATCGTAGAGTTTTTGCCATTGTAATGGACAGAGTTTGATAATAATGTGGGTGGGTTCATGGACACAGCCAAGAGGTGAGGATGATATTGGCATAAGGGCTCGAGTTCGAGTACAGAAGAGCAAGGTGAGGCAGCGTACTGTATTCAATTATTTAGCCTCACAAAAATGAATTTGTGACACCTTCAAATGCTTTCAATAAGTTACTTGAAAACATATGAATGTTTTTAAGATGTCCACCAAAATGTTAATGTTCTGAGATGGCTACACCGATCAATTGGGGTGTGGATTTTAGGTTTCAAGACCTTACAAACAAGCAGAATTCGATATAATATTTGGCGAAGGCATTTGCAAATTGGTGAGTTTAGGCTGAAATTTATGCAATTAGCTGCAGTGGTCGCATAGAATCCACGTATCATCTTCATATTGTATTCAATGAATAAGCTTTTTACCCTGTACGGTGCACTAAAATACGTGATTGTCGTCTGGGGCTAAAAGGCATCTAAATAATTGTACGGTTGAGGTACCGTGGAAGATTTTCAGTTAGTCACTACTGTGTATCTTGTTTACAGGGGAGCTTACTGGACTCAGCAGAGACAGTCGGTGTTGTTGTGAGGAAAGGTGCTTGGTACAGTTATGGAGAAACCAGGTGCCTTACAAAGCAATTTATCAATTCCTCACGCAAATGCAAATGAAAATGACTCGTTTGCTATGTTTCTCTTGAGTTTTAATTATTAGAAACTGGAATTCAATGCTAAAGGTAAGGTCGTTCAATGTAATCCTGACGAGTTTTCTTTGATAGTGACTTCACAGCTGATAGTAGGACAACAAATTGGTTTGAGTGCAGGTTAGGTCAAGGGCGAGATAAAGTTGTTCAATTCCTCCGAGACTACCCGGAAGTGTGTGCAGACATTGAGAAGGTACGTGCTGATCGTGCTGTACTGGTCTAATATTTATGTTCTTTTGTGAAGCTCCATGTGTTCCTCAAAACTTAAGGCCAACTCCGTGACTATCGCGCAGGTCGTTCGAGAAAGAATTGCAGAAATCATGACAACAAAGCGAGATTATAACGGTCCCAATGGGAGTGCTGTGGTTCATGCTGGAATGGACATCGAGGAAATGATGGGCGAAGACAATTTGGGAGAGCTTGACTGAATGGTTGCTGTGGTTGTAGGATTTCCATTGTTGTGGAGAAAACCTTGTTTTAAAGCAGCTCCTCTTAATTAGCTTTCGACTCTTTGCATCTCACCAAACCAAACGACTTTCATTATCTTAGTGCCGTACATGCGTCGTTCTCGCCGCGCCTTGAAATGGCCACAGCCATTTTTAGGCATTTCCCGACTTACACATTACTTACGAGAGCTATTTAGTACTCACAGCTGCCTATTTTACTTTCACTGCAGCCGTCAATGTACCTTTTAGTCGTTTCTTACGGCCGCGATCGGCAACTGCTAAGTGAGTGCCTTGTTCCACATGCTATTGAACAGTTTAGATTATGGACAACTGGCAAACTGGTCCGAAAGATCTCACGGTAATTTCTTTGTTAGTTTCAACACAAAAAAGATAATAACACCCGATTTTACGGCACACTAGTCACCGATTACTCCACTAGGCTCTGACCTCGTGACTCTCCTCCTCAAAACTAGCATATGAACTGCTATCTGCCAATACTTTTAAATTACTTCCACCCTACATTGATACAGATTCCAAACGATTCTTGTCTCTAGTGACCACAATAAGTAGCTTCTGTATTTCTGAACAAGTTTGGACGAGCTCACGCATGACAGTGGATGTGATTTTCCTAACCACTTCCTTCAGCGACGTCACCCACTCTAAACCGCAGGACTGCCTCCTTCAACCCACCATGAATTGTGCTTAGCTAGTGTTCTTGACAATCTCGACCAAAGAAGAAGATTCTGATATAATACCTTAGATATCAGGTGGCCGTGATTTATTCTTCACCTTCACCACCAAAGTACATTATGTCTAAGCACTCCTTTTGTGTCCACTATCAAAGCAAGCGAACAACCCTAAAACTTACTCAACACTGCCCGTTATCAACCCCCACCCCTTCGTCACAGCAGTTCCAATCCTTCATAGGAATGAATCTCATCTCATCGTCTCCTCTCACAAAATCCACCCAAGTCAAGATCTGTACGCGATTCGTACTGTAACTTACGAGGGCACTGAATGTTACATATGGCCAGTAATCACGAGCACGCATTGGAGATGCAAGATGCAGTCGGTAGAGACACCCTAGTACAAAATCAGGTCTCAACTGGAACAGAGTACATAAGAAACCAGGAGCAGAGGAAGTGCTCGCATCGCCTGGTTACAATTCAGCCACACTAAAAATTTGCAACTGTGACAGGATAATTGACTAACTATCAAATCCGGAATACACTCCAGAATCGCGAAGCAACCTCTTCTCCTCCTCCACATAGTTCTTGCCACGGCTTGCCTGACCCATCTCCCGCTTCCGCTTCTCCTTCTGCGCGAATGTCACCGCCTTCTGCTCTGCAATTGCATCCCGCTTCTGCTTCTTCGTGAAGTTGTAGGCCGCAACTGCTCTCGCAGCAGCAGCTTCGGCATCTTCGGAGATAGTCTCGCGGATACGCTCACGAAGCTCTATGGACTCCTGCTCCTCCGCGTCGCCTGTCCCTTTACGCTTCCCAGACGACCATGACCAGTCTTGATCTCCAGCATCTTGTGTGGGTGCCGGGACATTCATGATCGAAAGACCTCCCGTGTAGCCATGGCGGCTCAATGCCTCATAGTCCAACCTCCCCGCTTTCTTCTTGCTCTTGTCCGAATTTTCGCCCTCTACTATATCGTCTTTTTTACCGCCGCACTGCTCCTCCTTCTCATCGGGGCCGTCTTCATCCGAAGAAGACTCTCCCGATGACAAAGCTGCCAATGGGTCCATGGCACTCCATCCTCCTGCCATGGTTTATCGAACCCTAAACCCTTAAGTAAACGCGCCTTGAGCCCCTTGCGAATTACCCCAACTCACCATCCAAGGTTCGCAATACAGCTACAAATAACCAACTCACAAAGACGGACTCATTTGAGAGAAGTATACTAATCTACAATCAACATCAAAACAGTATGACTGAATTCTCCACTTGGGACCGAGATGGAGGGAGAGGTGACATGAGCCGTGTTGTGAACGGGGGACTGACAGTTGGGAATCTTCGTTTTGTATGCATTTGCACTAACGAATTCATTCCCCTGCTGCCTGCTTGGTCATAGACTGCAGCCAGAAACTCCGAATGCTCCAGCAGAGAGGTTGTGATCATCCCTGTCGGTTCAGCGAGGCCGAAGAACATCAAACAAAGGAGACACACGTCGGCAGCAAACCTGCTTGCACTATCCTGTCACGATTCGACTGAAGACCGCGCCAGGTTATCAACACAGTCGGGGTCTCGGAGTGTGATTCACTATTACAAACGTTTTCCTATTTCTACTCTCCCTCTCCACAGCATTAGGGCTTTACTCCCACACACCCCTGAATATGGGTCCCTCACTGCGCCATCAACAACACCCACAAATCGTTATCCAATTGCGTTAACAAGGATATTCTAGGATTGCAGTGACTCATGCAGATGGATCTGAAGGTTAGCTACATAGACCCACGGACTAAACCTCTGCCGACAACGCCGACAACCCCGACCCCCGCCATTCAGACTCCTCTGCCATCGATGCTGATGTCCTGCATTACCCCGAGGATGAGCAACTCGTTGTTGCTGAATCCTGATTCGTGACTGATACTATCGAATGTCCCTTCGTTTCACCCTGTGGATTACACATCGGAAGAATTGAAAAATATATCTATATATATACATATATATATCAACAGTTTAAGATCATACAAATGTTAAAATAATAATAATAGTAATAACAATAGACTTATGTATTTTTATAAAGAAAAAAGTGAGTAAAAAAGAATTAGATATGAAATAGAAAAAAGAGTTGGAATATCTATTGTCAATCTCAAAGAAACAATAGAGTTTTAAACCAAGTCTAGAATATAATAGAAGAGTTAAAAAGATTAAAGATGGCATCATTCTTGCCACCATGTACATTATCTACCATAAAGACATTATGAAAGCTTTTAAAAATTATAAGATTTGTTGTTCAAACATCAAGTTATAGGTTGCTTCAAACACAACATCTTTAAAGTAAAAAAACTTAAAGTACATTTTTTATAGTCATATGGCATATCTATAGAAATCTAAAGATCTAATTGTCTGTTAGAGACATAGTCCTTAGAACCTTCTAAAGACAAGCTTCTAGAACCTTCTAGAAGCAAGTCACTGGAACCTTCTAGAAGCTTCTTAGTTGGTAGAAGATATTAGGGACATAGTCCTTAGAACCTTCTAGAAGAAAGTCTCTGGAACCTTCTAGAAGCTTCCTAGTTGGTAGAAGTTGCTTGAGAAGCTTCCTAAATAGGAGTATATATTGGAATCGAGGCTGAAGAGTTTTTTAGTCTCGACAACACATCTCTTGGAGCTCTAGCTCACCTCTCTGGTATTGTTCTTGTATTCATCTGATTAATCTAGTTCTTGCCAGTTCTTCTTGAACTTCTTATTAGATCTCAAGTCTGTATTCTGTGTCCGTGACAGTTTGTCAAGACTTCACTCACCTCAGATATCAGAGCTAGTTTCTTCTTTGTTAGAGTGTGGATTATCCCTCTGCTTGGAAGTGTACTAGCACTTTAGAGGTTGTGGATTATCCTCCTTTAAACTGATACTTCTTTTGTTACAATATTGGAGTCTTATTCTTCTTGGAGAGAGTGGATTACCCCTTTTCTTGAAGCTCTTAAGGCATTTTAGAGATTGCAGAGTACCCTCCTCTAAACCAATATTGTCTTCTTGTAGAGTCATTTTTGTCCTTCTCTTAGAATGGCCGGAGGCCAAGACATTAGTATGACGGAAAGTTGAGAGTCTAAGTTAGATACTATCATGAATGCCCTCGCTACGTTATTGCAAAGAACTGCAGAGATTGAAGGAGTCGTGGCAAGGCTTCATAATGATGGAGCATCTGGGATGGCACAATCTAGGTTGCACCAGCCTCAAACTTCTACACTTGGAGAAGCAACTTTGCCTCAGATTCGACAAGCATCGTTGGTTCTACAACATAAGAAACCCCGAGTTAGCCTTCCGGACAAGTTCGATGGTACGCATTCCAAGTTTTGAGGATTCGTCAACCAAATCACGTTGATAACAGTTTTACAGCCCGAACGCTATCCAACAGAGGAGTCATGTGTTGGGCTTGTTGGAACCTTACTTACAGGACAAGCTCTATCATGGTTTGCTCCTTTGTTTGAGAAACGATCGTCCATACTAAACAACTTTGAAACCTTTTTGGAGGCATTTGCGGAAGCATTTGGTGAACACGATAAGGTTCGATGGGCTACAACAAAGATCCGGTCACTACGACAAGGGATGCATTCTAAATCAGTCTATGCATTAGACTTCAGGTAATTAGCATGCGACATCAATTGAGACGAAGAAGCGTTGATGAGTCAATTCTATTGGGGTTTAAAGGACGATGTGAAGGATTTGCTATTAACTCTTCTTGATCCGCAAACGCTCAACGAAGCTATTAGCCAAGCTGTGAAGTGCGATAACCGCCTATTTCAACATCGCCAAGATCAACGTTCAAGACAACATACGATTTGCTACACCCCAACTATGTTGGCAAGCAGCGTGAATTCACATTCAAAGGTAGAAGACATGCAAATTGATGCGGTAGGTGTCAAATCTCTTACTCTAGAAGAAAAAAAGTGGCGTATGGAGGAAGGTCTATGCTTGTATTGCGGTGAAGAAGGCCACAAAGTTGGAAACTACCCCAAGAAGCAAAATCGACGTATTATCAAGACTAAGGGCACGTTTATTCAAGAAAACGAGGATGCCTAGTCATAATAAGAACCGTGCGGCTAGACAGTGAAATATCGCAACAACAACCAGGTTCCTTTCTTTCCGCTCAACCTGCCCTTTGTTTTACAATCCCTTTGCTTATTGGCCCTCAGAAACTGAGAACCTTAGCATTATTAGATTCAGGAGCATCTCCTTGTTTCTTAGATGAAGAATTTGCGAAGCGTCATAAGATCCCTTTAGTACAAAAATCCAAACCTGTTCACGTTGAGGTCATAGATGGACGACCTTTATTGTCTAGTAGTGTCACCCATGAATCAGAACCTATAGAAGTGATGTTTAAGGATCATAGTAGTCATATTATTTTCAATATTATTAGAACCCCATCAAATCCTGTTATTCTTGGTCTTTCCTAGTTGGAAAAGCATAATCCATCCATAGATTGGAAGTTGCGGAAGATGACCTTTCCCAAAAAACCACCCAATAGCAAGCCTAGTAGAAAACCTCGAATAGAGAAATCCTTATTTATTGGAGCAAGAGCGTTTATAAGATCGTCCAAGGGAGGCACATCGTTTGTCATTTATGCGGCTCCAACTACTGGGAAGAAGATCTCGACAGCAAGTATACCGGAGCAATATAAGGATTTTAAAGACGTATTTCAAAAGAAAAATACCGACATGCTACAAGAACATAGATCATATGATTGCGCCATTGACTTACAGGAAGGAGCACAACCGCCTTTTGGCCCAATCTATAATCTATTGCAGACGGAGTTGGCGGAGTTGCGGAAGTACATCGACGAGAATCTAGCCAAGAACTTCATCTGTCATTCAAAATCGTCAACTGGAGCACCCATCTTATTTGTGAAGAAGAAAGATGGCTCATTGCAGATGTGCGTGGACTATCGAGGCCTCAACAAGGTAACAAAGAAGAATCGTTACCCGTTATCCTTGATTTCTGGTTTCTTAGAACAACTTGGACGTGCAAGGATCTTTACAAAAATTGATCTAAGGGGAGCTTACAACCTCGTACGAATCAAGGAAGGAGATGAGTAGAAGACAGCGTTCCGTACAAGGTATGGCCATTTTGAGTATAATGTCATGCCCTTTGGTCTTACCAATGCTCCAGCAGTCTTTCAACATATGATGAATGATATTTTTTGAGAGTACCTTGACGATTTTGTTGTCATCTATTTGGATGATATTTTGATATTCTCCAAAAATGAAGAAGAGCATGAAAAATATGTTCGTTTGGTCTTGGAGAAACTACGCGAGCGAGGACTATATGCCAAGTTGGAGAAGTATTTATTTCACTAAATAGAGATGGAGTTTTTGGGGTTTGTTGCGACTACAGAAGGCTTGAAGATGGACCCCAAGAAGGTAGAAGCAATCGTGTCCTGGGAGGTTCCGAAGACGGTAAGAGACGTACAATGCTTTCTTGGTTTTGCCAACTTCTATCGGATCTTTATCAAGAATTACTCTCAAGTTGCTGCTCGTCTCACTCGGTTGACATACAAGGATAAGTTGGAATGGGGACCTCTAGCAGAGAAGGCATTTCAAAACCTGAAGACCGCATTTACTGCGGCTCCAATCTTGCTACATCCAGACTTTACAAAGGCCTTTTATTTAGAAACTGATGCTTCGGATTTTGCTTTGAGAGCTGTACTTTCACAAATGGGAGAAGACAAGAAGCTCCATCCGGTTGCATTCTATTCTCGAAAGTTCTTTGCTGCTAAAATCAATTATGAGATCCACGATAAGGAACTTCTTGCTATAGTGGATTCTTTCCAAGAATGGCATCACTTTCATGAAGGAGCTGCACATCCACTGACCGTATACACAGATCACAAGAATTTGGAGTATTTCATGTCGGCTCGAGTTCTAAATCGACGTCATGCTTGGTGGAATATGTTGCTATTTAGGTTCGATTTTATTATCACTTATCGACCTGGAAAGCAGCAAGGACTATCTGATGCCTCATCGAGGAGATCGTATCTTGTATCAAAGGCTAGAGAAGCAACGTTTGATCAACAATGTACGACATTGTTGAAGCCAAAGTAATTTCAGCTTTGCGCTACTATTGTGCCAATTGATGCTGACTTCCTGAATCAGGTATGTGCCATGACCATTGAAGATTCAGTAGCCATTGATATTAAGCAGCGTACCAATGACGACAAGTTCAAGGTGGAGGGAGATTTTTTATACTTTGAGGAGCGGTTATATATCCCTAAAGGACCAGCATGACTTCGAGTTCTTCAATCTCGCCACGATTTTCCAGCTGCGGGATATTTTGGATTCAACAAGACCTTGGAGCTTATTTCTCGAGATTTTTGGTGGCCCCAAATGTGGAAGGATGTGAAAGATTTTGTCCTCTCCAGCGACATCTATTCAAGATCCAAGAATCCTTGACATCGCCGTTATGGATTCCTACAGCCATTGTTGATTCCACGTCGACCATGGTCTTCAATTTCCATGGACTTCATCACGGACCTGCCATCATCAAACTCATTTGACAGCATCTTTTTCGTGGTAGATCGGCTTACAAAAATGGCACACTTTGTCCCTTGCAAGAAGACATCGTCCAGTGAAGTCACAGCAAGGCTCTTTCTCGATAATGTGTATCGATATCATGGACTACCAGATGATATTGTATCAGATCGAGGAATCCAGTTCGTATCAAAGTTTTGGAGATCTCTCTTTGAGATACTGAAGGTGGATATCAAGCTTTCTTTGGCTTTTCATCCTCAAACTGACGGTCAAATGGAACGGGTGAACCAAGTCTTGGAATAATACTTACGATGCAGCATCAACTATCAGCAAGACGATTGGACCACATATCTGTCGCTAGCCGAGTTTGCATATAACAACACCCTCCATGC